GGCGGCGCCTCCGGCGCCCCCGCCCCGGCCCGCGCTCGCGCGCCACGGAGGAGTCAGCAACAGATTCTAAGGAATCCGCGCGGGCGCCAACAATTCGTGGTTGCGACGCCACGCCAACAATTTTTATTCACGGCTTTTTTTTTTCTTCTTATTTTTTTCGACTGTCATGCCCGACGCTCTCATAGCAGCCCTGCGCCGATTCGGGCTACCAGGCAAGATGCTGGACATCGTCCAGGCGATCTACTCTGACCGGCTTTTCGCTGTTTGCGATGCGGGCAGGACGTCAGGGCAGCGAGAGCAGCGGGCGGGCATCTGCCAGGGCTGTCCTCTGTCGCCGTTCTTAACCGCCATTTTGATGACCGTCCTCCTCTGGGACGCGAAGAACGCGATCGGTGACCTGGCCGGGCGCGTCAGTGACCTGGTATACGCGGACGACACCTTGATTCTGGCTTCCAGCGCTGCGGATGCGGAGGAGTACATGAAGGCCATCGCAGACGCCGGAGCTCATTTTGGTTTGAAGTACAACTGGCGGAAGCTCGAGCTCATGGCCACTGGGTGCAACGCCCATGCTATACTTAAGCTTGACGGCGACCCGATCCCGCAGAAGACGAGCATGATATACCAGGGAAGCGTCTTGACATAGGATGGTTCCGTCGGTGCAGAGTTGAGCCGGCGGATCGGCCGAGCCAGGTCAGAGTTCGATTATTTACAGCGTGTTTGGTCTCATTCTTCTATGTCTACCAAGAGAAAGATCATCGTGTACCTTGCGTGCGTCGAGGCGACGCCGCTGCGCAGCCTCCACACATCTTGGTTACGTCAGCGCGAACTGGCCAGATTGAATGCTTTTCAGGCGCGGTGCCTGCGGAGAATCCTCGGCATCAGGCATTCTTATGTCAGTCGAGTCACCAACGCCGCGGTGTTGCAGCGAACCGGACGCGGCAAACTCAGCGACCTCTTGCTGCGACGGCAGTTGATCCTGCTCGGGGAAATCGCACGCCAGGCCGACGACCATCCTGTCCGCATGGCTGTCTTCCAGCCTTCTCCCTCAGAGCTGGCGCAGGCGCCCGGCCGCCGGAAGAGGGGCAGGCCCCGGCAGGCGTGGGCAACAGAATTGTCTAAGCATGCTAAGCAGATTTGTCGTAATTATGGTTGGAACTTTTCGGATTTGGGCACTTTTACAGCGGAGGCCTGGAAAGCAGCGGTGCGCAAGCATACCGTCTAGCGCACGCTCGTGCCATTGCCCGCGTGCCTACGGACACGCGGCTTCATTCATTCATTCTATTGTATCGGGTGTTGCCAGAAGTGCCCCGTGGCCCAAGGCGCCCCCAGGATTTTCGGGGTGGCCCAGACGGCCTCCAAAGGACACCCCTCGCGAGGCCCAGAGGGCCCCAGGGGCTCCGAAATGGAGCGAAAAGCTGGAGGCCACCTTGGGCCAGGGGTACTTCTAGCAACACCCGACTGCACAATTTTCGGGGGCGGCAAAGAGGGGGTGATGACTGGGGGGAGATCTCATGGCGGGGGCAATGATATCTACCCAGATTTTGCGTTCCCTGCCCCCCACTGGGTCGCGCACGTGCCTCGGTCCACGATTTGCGAACCCCCCTCTTGAACGCCCCCCTCTTGGACGCCCCCGAATAAAATGCATCTCGGGGCTTTAGAGTCAATGCAAGAAAACAAGGGGCAGTCAAGGCGCCGGATCTTGCGGGGTCCTGCAAGGCCAGGGGCGCATTGGCGCACTGGCCCGGGCTTGGGTGCAGGATCCTGCAGGATCCTGCGGGATCTTGCAGGATCCTGCAAGGCCCGAGTGACTCGGGTCTGGATTCACCCAGGTCAGTAGATCCCCGACTCGTTGGGGCTTCCAATGCTGTGCGCGTGTCCACGGATGTAATTCGACCAGTTGTCTCTGCAGTGTCCCTGTAGTACTTTGTCCCGCCGGGTGTGACCTACTGGCGCGTCGGAGGAATTTTGTATGTGGTTTTGCTGTTGGTCATGCCCGGCACTCATGTTTTTTCCCCAACCATCTTGTGGTGGTGGGTCCTCGTTTTGGACAGACAACGCCCTGTGTTCCCTCACCTCCTCTTCTCCTTCCGCTCCCTCCTCCCGCCTCTCCTCCACTTCTCCTCCCGCTCCTCCCTCCTTCAGTCCCTGCCTTTGCCCTCAACATGTGTCTGTTTCGGCACACCCCGCATGTCCATTTCGGCACACCCCTCGCATGTTTCGTGGCCCCATATGGAGCGCCACCGAAGGCCCCAGTGGCAGCGCCCGCATGCAGTTCCAATTCCATGTCAGTGCACCGCTCACACGTTTCGTGGCCCCATATGGGTGTTCCACCGAAGGCCCCAATGGCAGCCCCCGCATGCAGTTCCACCCTCCATGTCGGTGCACCGCTCACTCGTTTCGTGGCCCCATATGGGTGCTCCACCGAAGGCCCCAATGGCAGCGCCCGCATGCAGTCCCACTTCCATGTCGGTGCACCACTCGCACGTTTCGTGGCCCCATATGGGTGTTCCACCGAAGGCCCCAATGGCAGCCCCCGCATGCAGTTCCGCCCGTTTGCAGGTCCTCGCTTACTTCGGCACAACCGTTCACACGTTTCGTGGCCCCATAAGGTGTGTCACCGAAGGCCCCAATGGCAGCGCCCGCATGCGGTTCCACCCTGCACGTCGGCGAACCCCTCATACGTTTCGTGGCCCCATAGGGACCTCCACCTAAGCCTCCAGAGGCAGCGCCCGCACGCGATTCACCCCCCATTTCGGCGACCCCCCCACTCGTTTCGTGGCTTTATGGGGTCTTCCACCGTATGCCCCAGTGGCCCCTGATGCTGGATTTCATGTCCCTCGCGATGCTGGATGGCCCGAGTGGCAGCGCCCGCATGGTGGCCCCGCCACATTCCAGCTTACCCTTCACTCGCTTCGAGGCCTCGTAAAGAGATTCACCGAAGGTGACACTCACAACAACGGTACTGATCACAGCATATGGTTGGGTCCGTCGCCAGGCCAATTGTTCGGTACGTGTCCACAAGCTCGATACTTGTTACCGAGCGTGTTCCGCTTGCGACCTTGGTTACCGCCGTTTTCGGCCCAGCGGGTTTCGAAGGAAACGTGTGCATGTGTGTCCGTGTGCGTGCGTGCGTGCATGCGTGCGTGCGTGTGTGTGTGTGTGTGTGTGTGTGTGTGTGCGTGTGTGTGTGAGTGTGTGTGTGTGTGTGCGTTGAGCTTCCGGGCCAAGACAGCTACCAGGGCATCCCGACATCCCGATCCGATCCGATCCTACCCCGGGGGCCCCCAAACGGGATTTCGAGGTCACCGCACGGTCTGACACCGCACCGTTTCGGGACGCCAAACCATCCCTCCCCCTTGCACCCTCTTTTCCTTCCCTCTCCCTTCTGTTCCAGTTCCCATCACTTTGAGGATACCAGTGGCTCAAGGAGGGGAGACGGCGCGGGGAGTAGATCGGTAACCCCGATAATTTTACGCTTGACACGGCAGCCCACCATTCCTCTTCCTTTCAGGAGGAGGAGGGAGGAGGAGGAGGATGAGGAGGAAGAGGAAGAGGAGCAGGAGGAGGAGGAGGACCAGTGTAAACCTAAGACTCATCAGCGATTTTGGAATACACCCTCCTTCCGAGGAGCTCCCTCTTCCTAGGCCCATGCAGAGATCATTTCCACTGAGGGAATTGCCCCGTTGGGGGACAACCGTGCCCAAACACCAATTCTAAGACTTCAACGCCACAAGTTAGCCTGATTATGAGGTCTTGGTGATCCTGAAACGTGCCAGAAGACCACTCCTGGGACGTCAACACAGCGAACCAACGTAATTGTCGCGCCCTGGCAGTCGTACATCGGTCCAACACACCATTCCAGGTACGGTAGCCATGAGAAAAAGTGAAACTGTTGCAAACTTGTTTGAACGAATGTGCGCGGCGCTAAGGTGAGACCCACATCGTTCGCCCTCAATCCGTGGAATTCGTGCAAACTTTTAAGACGAACGTGCGTGGCGTTGTGACGAGAGTCACATTTTGAAAACGAACCGCCCTCAATCTGTGAAGCTCTTGCAACTTTTAAAACGAATGTGCGCGGCGCTAAGGCGAAAACCACATTTTGAAAGGGAGCCGCCCTCAATCCGTGAAGCTCTTGCAAATTGTGAAAACGAATATGCGCGGCGCTGAGGCGAGAGTCACATTTTGAAAACGAGCCGCCCTCAATATGTGAATCTCTTGCAAGCTTCAAGACGAATATGCGTGGCTCTGAGGCGAGAGCCGCATATTGGAAACGACCCGCCTTCAATCCGTGAAACCTTCTGCAAATCTTTGAAGCGAATGTGCGCGGCGCTGCGGTGAGAGCCACGGTTTGAAAACCACCTGCCCTCAATTCGTGAAATTGTTGACAGTTTTTAAGATTCAGGGTCACACATTGTGAGGAAGTCTCAAGCGAAGAGCCCTGCCCGCCCTTTCGACTGGCCTCGGGGTGCAGCGACAGGGAGGAGTTGTTCAAAGGAAAGGAATGGAGGAGGAGGAGGAGGAGGAGGAGGAGGAGGAGGAGGAGGAGGAGGAGGAGGAGGAGGAGGAGGAGGAGCTTTTGGCCCCTGCTGCTGCCCCGCGCCGTTCGGATATCGGCAGAAGCTCGGCAGCTGGTGGGTGCGGTCGATCTCGGCGTCGCCCGCTGGGGACCTAGGACGGCGCGCGGTGGGATGACGACAACATGTACGTGGAGGACTCTTTCCCGAAGGTGCCCTCCACCTCCTGCCTCTCCTCTCGCTCGTGGGCGCTGCCCCGCTGCCCGCTGGGGCCTCGCCCTTCTCCTCGCCGCCCTCCCGCTCGCTCCCGCTCCTGGCTCCGCTGCTCTCTCGGGGCCCCTGGTTCCGCCGCTCGCCTGCCCGTGGCGTGACCGCCGCCGCGCGAGGGGGGGAGGGGACGACTGGCAGACAGCGGGGGGGGGTCAGGGGCAGGAGGAGGAGGAGGAGGAGGAGGAGGAGGAGGAGGAGGAGAGGAGGAGGCGGAGGAGACGAGGAGCAGGAGGAGGAGGAGGAGGCGGAGGAGGAGGAGGAGGAGGAGGCGGAGGAGGCGGAGGAGGAGGAGGAGGAGGAGGAGGAGGAGGAGGAGGAGGAGGAGGGGCAGCGCCAGGAGGGGACAGGCTCTGGGGGGACCGCGCCGACCCCCAGTTGCCCATGGGTTGCCGAGGTGGGGCCGGACGCCCCACCCCGCCCGGGGGCCTGCATTCTCGCGATCGCAGGCCTGTGGCCGAGCTGTCAGCGACACACCGCCAATGCCAGGTCGATGTTTCCCCCACTCAGCGGTCCCCCCTATGGTTCCCCTTCATGGGGGGGGCGGCGAAGTCGACTTCCGGGCCGGACGAAGGGGGGGTCCGGGAACGGGGGGCGTTGACGATGCGTTGGCGCCTCCAGCGCCCGGGTGGCGTCGGGGAAGCCATCCACGCGAGCCGATTCGCTGTACGCTTCTTGACTAGCCAACCTCTCAACCGATCCGAAACTTGTTTTTTTGTGGTTGGACACCAGCCACTAGTCATCGGCCGTGGCATAGCCCTCGCTGGACCAGCTCCAGGCGTCCTGACGCAGTCTGGTCTGGTGCACCCTGCCAGACTCTGGCTGATTCTTGTTTCAGTCTGGCTTCCAACATGGCGCCAATCTGGCTTCCACCCGGCTAGCCTGGATGTCATCCGAGGCGGGCTGAGCCCGCGAATACGTATCAGGAGTTCAGGATCGGGCCGGACGAACGGGGGGGATTGGGAAAGGGGGGGTTAAGAAATTTGCTGCATGCAGCTGGTTTCGGCCTCACCGAGGGGCCCATCCCTCGATACATAGCCGCCTCCGGCGCCGGGAAAATCAGCTGCGTGAGCTGATTCTCCCCCCCCCCCCCTTTGCTGCCCCCCCCCTTCGCCCGACCCGACAGTGACAGGAGCGGCAGAGGGACGTGCACGTGCACGTGCACGAGTCCACGCTGGTTTCGAGAGAGTGCGCACTGCGCGAGCGCTCGTAGCACGAGCCTGGTCTCGCGCGGACTCGGGGGGCCGTGGCGTGCTCGTGTGCGTGGTTGGGCGCGCATGTCCCTCTTTGTGGGCTCCCCTGGGGACCCCCCCTGGGAGTGGCCGCCTCGGCGAAGGGACGAGACGGGCTGGGAGGGTCGGCACTTGGATCCGTCACGTGCTGCGAATCCGGAGGAGGATGCGGAGGAAACGGAAAAGGAAAATGCAGAGGAAGAATAATGAGGAGGAGGAGGAAGAGGAAGAGGAGGATGATGATGAGGAGGAGGAGAAGGAGGAGGGAAGGGGGCAAGGAGTAGGAGTAGGAGTAGGCGGAAGAGGAGGAGGAGGAGGAGGAGGAGGAGGAAGAGGAGGAGGAGGAGGAGGCGGAGGAGGCGGGGAAGGATAAGGAGGAGGAGGAGGAGGAAGCGGACGATGGCGAGATCGAAGAGGAGGCGGAGGAGGAGAAGGAGGAGGAGGAGAACCAATGTAGACGTAAGACTCATCAACGATGTTTCAATACACCCTCCCTCCAAGCTCCTTCTTCATAGGCCCCATACCAGGGTTCATTTCCGCTGAGGGGATTGCCCCGTTGGAGGAATTGCCCCGTTGGAGGAAGAGGGGGATACTGATGATGATGATGCTGCTGCTGCTGCTGATGCTGATGCTCATGCTGATGCTGCTGATGATGATGATGCTGACGCTGATGATGATGAGGATGCCCATGCTGCTAATGATGATGATGCTGCTGATGATGCCGATGATGACGATGACGATGACGATGACGATGATGCTGCTGATGACAATGCTGATGCTGATTCTGATGATGATGCTGATGATGATGCTGCTGAATCTGATGATGATGCTGATAATGCTGATGATGCAATTGCTGATGCTATTGATGAGGATGATGGTTTTGCAGCAGCTGCTGCTGATGATGCTGCTGATGATGTTGATGCTGATGCTGCTGCTGGTGATGATGCTGATGATGCTGATGATGATGACGATGATGCCGCTGCTGCTGCTCCTGCTGCTGATGATGATGCTGATGTTGCTGCTGATGATGCTGATGATGATGATGCTGATGCTGCTGATAATGCGATGCTGATGCTGCTGGTGATGATGCTGATGATGCCGATGATGACGATGATGCTGCTGCTGATGATGCTGATGCTGTTGATGATGCTGCTGCTGATGCTGATGATGCTGATGATGATACTGATGACGGTGATTCTGATCATGGTGATGCTGCTGCTGATGATGGTGATGATGATTATCAGGATGATGATGATGCTGATGATGATGACGATGATCATGCTGATGATGATAATGCTGCTGCTGACGATGATGCTGATGATGATGAGGATGCTGCTGCTGATGATGATGCTGATGTTGATGCTGATGCTGTTGATGATGATGGTGATGATGATGCCGATGCTGACGATGCTGATTATGTTGATGATGATGCTGATGCTGTTGATGATGATGATGCTGATCATGATGGTGCTTATGATGCTGATGATGACGATACTGATCATGATGATGCCAACGATGACGGTGATGATGCTGGTGCAGCTGCTGGTGATGATGCTGATGCTGCTGATGATGATGATGCTGATGACGATGATGATTCATGATGATGATGATGCTGATTATGATGATGCTGATTATGATGATGATGCTGCTGCTGATGGTGAGGCTGGTGATGGTGCTGATCCTGATGATGACGATGATGATGATGATGATCATGATGATGATGATGATGCTGATGATGATGAGGCTGATGATGATGAGGATGATGATGTTGCTGCTGATGCTGATACTAATAATGATGATGATGCTGATAATGGTGATGCTGCCGATGATGATGATGATGACGATGATGATGGTGGTGGTGGTCTTGATGATGCTGCTGATGATGCTGATGATGATGCTGATGCTGATGCTGATGCTGATGATGCTGATGATGGTGATGATGATGCTGATGACGATGCTGATGATGCTGATGATGATGATGATGGTGATGATGATGATGCTGATGCTGATGATGATGATGCTGATGATGATGATGATGATGATGATGGTGATGGCGATGGATGGTGATGGTGATGGTATGGTGGTGATGATGATGATGCTGCTGATTGATTGATGATGATGCTGATGCTGATTGATCGATGGATGCTGCTGCGATGATGATGTGAGAGAGGAGGAGGAGGAGGAGGAGGGCAGGAGGATGAGGGAGAAGGATGTGAAGGGAGAGGGGAAGAAGGAGGAGGAGGAGAAGGAGGAGGAGGAGGGGGAGGAGAAAGGAAGAGGAGAGGAAGATGAAGAGGAACAGGAACAGGAACAGGAGGAGGATGAGGAGGAGGAGGATGAGGAGGAGGAGTTGGAGGCGGAGGCGGAGGAGGCGGAGGAGGAGGAAGATGAGAAGGAGGAGGCGGAGGCGGAGTCGGAGGCGGAGGCGGAGGTGGAGAAGGCGGAGAAGGAGGAGGCGGAGGAGGAGGAGGAGGCGGAGGAGGAGGAGGAGGAGGTGGAGGAGGAGGAGGAGGAGGAGGAGGAGGACAAAGGACGACTAGGGGGGAGGAGGATTGGATGAGGGCGAGCGGGGAACTTCGCGTGACGCGATGGAATTCATGTGCCTCGAGAGGGGGGGGAGCGGAGCTGTCCGCGCCTCCCCGCTCCCCGCACTCCTCCCTCTGCCTCCTCTCCTTCGTGTCCTCTCCTCCCTGCCTTCCTGTCTCGTCCCCCGCTCTGCCCTCCCTCCCACTCGCCCCCCTTGTCCCTTCCCCTCCCCACCCCTTGCCTTCCTGGTTGCGAGATTCCGTTCCCTTCCCCCCTCGTCCCCCTTCCCTTCCCAGTTTCGAGATTTCCTTCCCATCGCACCCCCTCTCCCTTCTCCCGTACACGTACACGAATCCACTTTGGTTTCAGAAGTATGCAGTACGCGAGCGTTCGTTGGGCGAGGCAGGTCTCGTGGATTGGGGGGCCGTATTCATGTACGTGGTTGGGCGCGTACGTCTTTTGCGGGCTCCCTATTTCCCCCTTCTCTTCCCCTCAACTTGTGTGGACTGTCATGTCGTCATTCCGAGATCCCCCCTCTCGGCTGCAACTCTTCCGATGTCCGCTGACATACATCCGCGCTCGACAACCGTCTTGCTCCAGCCTGATCCTGCTTAATCTGGCGTAATCCAGGTTTTCAATTTGACCTATTCCGGTTTGAGTGTCCCTTGATTTGGTTTTCGGACGGGCCTAGAATCGAGATGAACCCGTTCCAGAGTTTTCTGGAACGCTTTCACAGCGTTCCAGAACGTTTGAGACGGCCGCGGCGCGCGATACTCCAAACCCGCCGATTCTCAGAGATTTTCGATGTGTATCGGTCCGATGTTACCTTGATTCTGCCTTCGTCTTAGGTTTCAGCAGCTCCTTCTCGTTCCCACGAGCACCTTCCTGGAGTTGCCTCCCGACCCCCTCGTCCCGTCTCCCCCTTCCTCGGACCTGCTTCTTAAGTTGCAGGCCGATCCAGCACCCAGCACCCAGCATCCCCTCCCGTGCGATGTGTGGTGTCTTGCTTCTCGTGCCCGCTCTCTGTCTGCTGCTCATTGTGGCGCCTCTCCCACATCTCGAGTAGGGGATCTACTGCAGGATTGGTTTACCCCCAAACTGATTTTCTCGTCGAGCGCACGAGAGGTACGCAGGATGCCTGTAGATACTTCCGCGCACGTGTCGCAGATGCGGCGGGAACGTCGATCTTGGGGTAAACCAATTCTGTAGTCGATCCCCTACTCTCGGAGGCCTAGAGGTTGACACCAACACCAAGATCGGCGGTGTGCCTCCACCGAGGGAAGACGATCCCAATCTCGGGGATGGTGGCAATAGTATGGCTTCCAAGGTGGCCGAAATATTGCCACCAACACCGAAATCTGGGACCATTTTCCCCATGTGGAGGCACCCCCCTGTGTTGGTGTCGGTGCTCCTTTCCAGGCCTCCAATACTCGAATATCCATCGTGCATCACGCCTGCACCGAAGTGCTTACTGCTCCCCAGTTCGATCTCGAGCGCTCGGCGCCACGGCTGCTCCGCTCCGCTCCTGGAGGGACCGTGCCCCGGCGCGCAGTGGCGCGCCTGTCTGTCTGTCTCTGCCTCGCTTCTCTCCCTCCCCCTCCCCTCCCCTACCCTACACCTCCTCCTCTCCCTCCCCTCCCTCTCCCTCCCCCCTCCTACCCTACACCTCCCCCCGCCCCCCCCTACCCCACACCTCCCCCGCCCCCCGCTCCCTCCCTCTCCCTCCCACTCCTGGCCGCCACTCCGCCTGAGACTCGGCCTCCCCGCCGCCACCCCTGCTCCGGCCTCTCTGCCGAAGCACCCATTCCGTGGAAGAACAGGTCGCTAAGATTTACCCTTCGGAATTCTGACGTCGGGCGGGGCGCTGTAGCCAGAATTCGTGGCATATGCTGAGGCCAGTGGGGCCGTAGGTGGGGTGGTGTCGTTTGTTTTCTGGTCCAGCTTGTACATGGTTCTACGAGGTTGGCCTCATGGTTTGGACCCGAGGGCCTCCAAGCCGGCACAAGAGACACTTATGGATCGGACGGGGCTAGGACGAAGGTCAAGTCCGTTCCAGAGCGTTCCGGAACGCTCTCAGAGCGTTCCAGAACGCTCCGAGAAGGCCGCCGCGCGCGAGACATCCTCCAGAGCCGCCAGATCTCAGGGATTCTCAATTTACCTTCATCCGATATTGCCCTCGTCCTGGCTTCGTCTTATGATTCTGATTCGGATCGGATCGTGTTGGTCTGACCCTGGAACCATCTGCCCTTCGACGCATCAAGAACATTGATCCCGACCCTCTCCTCCTGGCTCACCCGGCGAGGTGCTCTGGTCCTCCATGTCCCCGATTTGGCTGAAGCCGGTGGAGATCGACAAGGACGAGCACGACTACAAGATGTTCCCCCCCCCCCCCCTCGATTCCTGTGCGCTTCAATCTGGCGCGGGGCCGTTCGCCAGGCAGTTGCGCTCTCTCCTTTCGCTTCTCCTCCTTTCGTTACCACCCCATCATCATACTAATACTACGCGTGCGTCGCCCCTCCAGGGGCGACGCGCGCGCTGAGACATGTTATAGTATTTGTTTGCTCGGTGGCGGGCTCTTTGTGGCTATAGTGCACGGGGAACGACACTCCTACTATATGCTCGGGTCGAACGCACGCCTCCGAGAAGGACACATAGTACTAGTATGTTCTGCTTCGTTCCGGGGAGCAGGAGCAGGAGGAGGAGGAGGAGGAGGAGGAGGAGGAGGAGGAGGAGGAGGAGGAGGAGGAGGAGGAGGAGGAGGAGGAGGAGGAGGAGCTGGAGCAGGAGCAGGAGGAGGAGGGGGAGGAGGAGGAGGAGGAGGATCAGCAGCAGCAGCAGGTGGAGGAGGATGAGGAGGAGGATGAGGAGGAGGAGGAGGTGGATAAGGGGAGGATGCCCGTCTCCGCCTTCTTCACCCTCTCTTCCCCTCCCCCCCCCTCCGCCTTCCCCCCCTCCTCCTCTCCCTCTTTTTCCCTCCCCCCCCTCCGCCTTTCCCCCCTCCTCTCCCTCCCTCTCGTGCTGCTCGGGGAGTGCTGCCTCCCTGCGCGTGGAAAAGGAGGGGGGAAGGCAACAAGGCGCTCCTCGCGCCGAGGGACCCCTCGGCCGGAGTCGGAGGATGGCGGTGGAGACGGTGGAGGATGGCGTTGAACTGTCTCGTCGCCCGCGTCAGCTTTGAAATGTCGATCGCTCGCCTCTGGTCGCCGTTGGAAACTCGTCCATCTGGCTATGTGGGATCATCATCTTTGTGGCGCGTGCGCATCGCTGATTCCAGACAGGAGGCCGCATCAGCCAATCGACTCAAGGGGGCGTGCTCACCTCCCTGTGTGTTCGCGTCCCCACTTTGCCCTGCGTTTTTTTTTCATCCCCTCCCAGGCCCGGCCTGAGCAGAGCCGGGGGTTCGCGGGGACTGTTGCAAGGTTTCGGTGCAAGCAGCTTTGAATGCTTCGTCGGTCGTGTCAGCTCCCTCTGGTCGTAATCCGTCTGTGGGAGACTCGTGATGGCGGTGGTGGTGGAAGTGGTGGTGATGCTGATGGTGAATGTGATGGTGATGGTGGTGATGAACATAATGAAGGTGATATTGATGATGGTGACATCGATGATGGTGGCGTTGATGACGATGAGTAGACCCAGGACTGGTGAGCCATGCTGTAATGCACCCCGTTCCAAACCCCCTCATTAGTCCCCACAGTCATTAATGTTGCGGGAAGCGCCCCCTCTGAATATCGCCTGCCCGTTTGGCCTGCGTGACATGCGAGACCCCGTGTTGTAAATGATTCGCCCTCCATTCGCATAACGAGAAACTACATATGATGATATTGTTCCAGAACGTGTCCGATGATAAGCCAGTGTTGAGAACGGATTGGCCTTTCATCCGAGAACGTGTCGCACAATTTCAAAGTTCAGGTCGTTAATTCTGTGGAAATCTCCAGCGTGAGCCTCATTTTGAAAATGGGTCTCCAGCCATCCGTGTGTAACTTGTACATCTTGGATTTCCCGGCCATAGAATTTGAGAAAGTCTCCACCGAGAGCCGTAATTTGAAAACATGTTGGGCTCCATGCTTCTAGCCCTTAGTTTTTGAGATCAACGTGCGTTTCGCTAGGGCGAGTGCCGTGTTTTGAAAACGACCAGCCCTCCTTCCGTTGGACTTTATAGCCTCAGGGCAGTGAGTTGTAAGGAAGTCACAAGCGAAACAACCGGCTTGATGGTGCGAAAGAGGGAGTTTTTAATAAGGAAGAGGGAGGGTGAGGAGGAGGAGGAGGAGGACGAGGAGGAGGGTAAAGGTGAGAGGGGGAGGAGGAGTGGGCGGGCGGTGTGGGAGGGAGGGGTGGGTGACGTGCCTTCGGTCTGGCTAGAAATCCCCCTGATGAATCCCCTAGCGATTCCTTCGAACACGGATTCAGAAACGCGTAGCAGCACCGCGGGCAAATTTGCCGATAAATACAGAAATACAGATGCACACATGTACCCCTATGCATGCACACATGCACACATGCATGCACGCATGTACGCATATACGTATCCAGGCGTGCGCGCGTACACGCGTATTTTCGGTCTTGCTTGCGCTTTTTTTCTCTCGAATGCGGCGATGGGTTGGAATCGCCTGGGGCATGGTAACGGGGTGCATTTACCTTGATTTGACCAGCTCGTGTCGAGAGGTGCGCTGGACCGGCTTCCCCAGTGAGAGGCAGCCTAGGCCTGGGCAGGCGCGTGCAAGAATAAGAGGCAGCCGAGACCTAGGGGCGGAGAGAAGAAGTGGAAGCCTGCAGGACAGGGCAAGCCAGGGTGGGGCGGGGGCTGGGGCCAGAGGGAGGAGGAGGAGGAGAAGGAGGAGGAGGATGAGCAGGAGGAGGAGGAGGATCAGGAGCAGGAGGAGAATGAGGAGGAGGAGGAGGAGGAGGAGGAGGAGGAGGAGGAGGAGGAGGAACAACGAGGGGCACGCACACACGCGCACTCGTTGACACGTACAGGCGTACGTGCGCATGCACATTCACACGGACACATTTACAAAGACACATGTACACATACACATGGATTTTCATGAGTACGTAGGCACATACGCGTGTGATTTTGCACACGTAGACACGTGCACACACGCACAGACATACGCATCCATGTACGCATTTACATACGCATACGCGTACGCACAAGTATGCGCGTACGAACGCATGCGCATTTGTATCTTCATACGCACACAACCTATAGTTTTGTTTAGACGCACGCATGCGAACGCACCCACGCACATTAACATACACGCACATGCATATGTACACGAGTCAGCGTACTCATACAAATCCGCATGCTCGTACGCATACGCATGTCTGGTCGCGACACGTACACATACACATGCGCATACAAGCGCGACAGTGCGCGCGTAAATGTTAATCAATGTGCCCGCCCATTTTCGGGTACGTAATGCTGCATGCGGATTGTCGGGAAGTCGGTGGGGCGATTTGGAGCAATTAGTGTACGAGGGGTCAAGGCTCTACCAGTGCCCGATCTACAAGACTTCCGAGCGCAAGGGCGTGTTGTCCACGAGCGGGCACTCCTCCAACTTCATCATGTGGATGGCCATCCCGCATTCGGGGCAGGCCCGCCCGGGTGGACGAGCGTTTTGTTCGATCTGTTAGGTGTGTTCTCCACTCCCCTCCGCAGGTTCGCTTCGTCCACTCTTGCTGACCCAGCGTGCTGCTTGCTGCGTATGTCTTGCAACTTGCCGCTGTTGATGGCTCCGCTGTCGCTTCTGCCGCTGGTGAATCTGCTGCTGCTGCTGCTGCTGCTGCTGCTGCTGCTACTGCTGCTGCTGCTGCTGTTGCGGCTGCTGCTGCTGGAGGGTCCTGGAACGCTTTTGGGAGCTCCTGAGACCGTCTGGGGGCGTCTCGGGGTCGTCTTGGGGCCGTTGGTCTGGCTACGGCTTGGGCGCTTCCCGACCTTTGTGGGCTTCGTGGGGGGACCTCATGTGGGCTGTCCTCGGCGCCTTTTGGGACTCTCTGGTGCCATCTTGGGGCGTCTTTGGACTCTCCAGTGGCTCTCTTGAGTGGCACTGGCACCCTCCAGGGTCCCTCTCAGGCCCTCTCGGAGCGGTCTTGGGGCTTGGGGGGCTTCTAGAAGCCTGCCGAGCCAGACCCGCCAGAACGCATTTGAAGCCCGAAGGCTCGCACAACTTGATGCTGGCAATGTGATGCGTCTCTTGAGGCCTCGTTTCAGGAGGGGAAGAAACACACAGACACAACGAATCGTCGATTCCCAGGAAAATACGGGAACATATGGGAAGTGGGGGGGAAGACAAAAACCCAGAAGACATGGGAAACTATGGGGAACCCTTTTATCCGTAAGGGCTTCGCCCCCTGCCGCCGGCCCCCTCTCTCGGAGAATGGGCCATGGAAGAGCTAAGTCATGAGGCCTTGGCGCTGTCGTGAAGCAGTATCGAAACTTCATGCGAAGCCGATTCGTAATCAGCAAAACCAACTGATCACAAGAGGGGTTACCACACCTGGCGATTGGTAAGACGTGTATGGTTTACGGGCTGGGTTACCACACCTTGCGATGAAAGGGCCGAGGGAGTTCTCGCAGTTTGGGTTACCACGCCTTGCGATGGATGTGCGTGAAGGGTGGCACCGAATTTCAGAAATGTGGCAAATCCCCTGTGTTTTTGGACCCTGACCCCGCGGATCTGCGTGAGGGGTGGCACCGAATTTCAGAAATGTGGCAAATCCCTTGTGTTTTTGGACCCTGACCCCGCGGATCTGCGTGAGGGGTGGCACCGAATTTCAGAAATGTGGCAAATCCCTTGTGTTTTTGGACCCTGACCCCGCGGATCTGCGTGAGGGGTGGCACCGAATTTCAGAAATGTGGCAAATCCGTTGTGTTTTTGGACCCTGACCCCGCGGATCTGCGTGAGGGGTGTCGATTTCGAGCCCACCCCGCAATTCAGACAACGCGCCCAGGAGACGCTAAAAATACCGTTTGGGCCTCCCCCCCCTCGCGCGGTCAATCAACTGGTTACAGCAACCAGCAGGAAGCAGAACCGTAACACTGGAAACTGCAAGCTACAACTGGTACTGGAAACTGCGAAAGCGTGCCTGGCAGCCTGGTGGCCCCACATGGGGGCCGGCGGATTTGTGTGTGTGTGTGTGTGTGTGTCCCAGGGCCCCTTCACTCTATGGGGCGCCTCGTGCTCCCAGGCCTGCCTCGCAGGGCCTCCGAGCCGCCCGGGGTCCGCCTGCCGGGGTCCGTGGTGCCCCCGCGCGCCGTCTGCGGCCCGCCGTGTGCGAGAGCAGCCCTTCGGGCGCCCTCGAGCGGACAAAGGGCCGTCCCCGGGGCCGTCGGGGGGCCCCTTTGGGGCCCTCGCTCGGAGTTTCGGCGGGCGTCCTGAACCATCATTTGATATCCCTGCAAAATCTTTTAAAAAATAATATTTTGTTTTCACGTTTTTGTGTGTGTTTCTGTGTATGCCTGTGTGTGTATGTGTGCAGGGAGAGACAAAGTGACGAAAAAAAACAAAAAATAAGCTGGAGAGTGTTTTAGTTTTGCCCTCGGGGCCATAGCGCGCACTGGGCCCCCTCTACGCTCCCCGTCCCCCTCCCCCCCCCAGACGGCGTGCCGCTCCCTCCCCCGGTGCGTCCCCGGCGGCGCTGCCGCGGTGCGTCAGACACCACAGTCTGGGAGGAGGGTGCTACGCTAGGCCCCCTCCTCCTGTTCCCCCCCCCCCCCACCCTCCCCCCATGACGCTCGTTACAGTCGACCCGCACAGTAAGGATGAGCGACTTTCCACAGGTGCCCTTGCATCCTTACCTCCTCGGCCCATCCTTGGCCACTTCCGTTGGCCGCACCCCGCACGAAAAGCTTCGACATGGGCGTCCAAGACCCTTGCATCCTTATTGCGCATCCTTATGATACGGGTCGAGTGTATGGCCGCGATTCAACACATGCGCTCTTGGGGGGACTTTGCTTGCGAGGGTCTTGGGGCTGCTGGGGTGGGTCTGCTGGGCCGTCTTCGGCCTCTCGGGAGGCCCTCTCGGGTCCTCTTGGGCTCCTCTTGCCGCCGTCTTGCGTCTGTGCTAGGAGCACTCTTGGGTCGTCTTGGGGACTTGCAAAGCCCCCCTGAAGCCATCACGGGTCGCGACGGAAGCCATCACCTTTGGAGCGTGATGGAACGCGACACGCACCGAATTCGTAGATTCGTCACAGTATTGGGGCATTTCTTGTTCTATGATTCGTGGCGCCAACATCGCAGAGCGGATTTCGTTCGGAAAACAGTAGACGCGGCCCGAATTGTCCTGGAGAATTTCGTTTCGTATTTCGAAATGAAATTCGTGTGGATTCGGTTTGGCCAGGAGCGCAGACAAGCAGCACATCCACGCGAAAGTCACTTCGTTTCTCGCTCGCCGCTCTGGGGTCTGCATGGGCAGCAATCCACGCAAACATCCGCTGCAGCACGTCTGCAAGGTCGGTGCAGTGGCTCACTTTGGGGCCTCTCTCCGCTGTCTTGGACGCCTCCCGAGCCAAGCCGGGCGAGCTTCGCGGCCCGGAGAGATCTGCGGCTCGGACCCGCCCTTACAAGCCGTCGCCCATGCCTCCCCCCTTTCGGGATCGTTTCACCGATCCCCATCCCCATCCCCATCCCCTTCGAGCCCCCCGATAAACTACCACCCCAGTTGGGGATACACCCCTCGAAGCCCGAAGAGAACGGCCTAGATCCCCATCTCGGGGGGTAACTCGGCCATTCAGTCATGCTCATTCATACTCCATACTCTCGGGGGGTAAGCGATACTCCTCTCTCGCGGTGCATTGCCATCTCTGGGGGGTAAACGATCCTCACTCATTGCTTCCCTCATACGGTGGCTTCGTGTCGTGTCGACGCGGCAGCGACCCCAGCGCGGGAGTCCAAGGTTTCACGCCGTCAGTGCCCCAGAATCGGCCGGCATCGAACGATCCGCACCATCGGAAGTCCGTAGTCCTTCAAGCCTGAAGGATCCACGTGGCGTGTCGGAAACCGACACCTGGAGTGACATCTTTGCACGTGCGGCACCCTCAGCGGGGTCGGCGGCTATCGTCCAGCTGTCTTCTGCTGCCCCCTCCTGCTCCGAAAGTGCGTTCGTGGGCAGGGAGGAGCTTTTGCATGGGGAGGACCCGGCTGCGATGCTCCGCTGAAAGCCGGCCATTGCGCAGGGCACGAGGTGCCCCCCCGTCAATGAGACGGGGGCCCGCGTCGGGGCCAGGCACGGTCGCAGTCCGGCGCCGCGCACCTGGGAGCTTCAGGACTCGCCGGCTGCTCACTGACACCAATGTTGATCAGTGTGCATCGGGCGGACCCCAACAGTCGGGTTCTCAGTAGCCTTGAAACGATCCCCATGCCCATCCCCATCCCCTTCGAGACCCCCACCAACTTACCCTCCCGGTTGGGGATACACCCCTCGAAACCCGAGGGGATCGGCCAGTGGGGCCCAGGCCACGCCGCTGGGGATGGGGATCGGTTAAACGATACTCAGTGCATCAGGCGGATTCCTACAGTCGGGTTCAGCCAGAGAACTAAACTGTAGGTATTCGGCCCCTTGCTCCCCCCCGCACAAGAGAGAGAGAGAGAGAGATAGAGAGAGTTTCATGACTTCGGCCCCAATTTCAACCCGTCAGGGCTACCACGGCGAGGAGTTCTGGACCAAGCGTGGCGTCGCTCTCGTCTCGCAGACGGACGATTAAGCGCTGGAGGGGCCGGGAGCAGGGCCAGAGCTCAGAAGGCGTGGGCGCGAGCGTTGGATGCCCTGGGCTGCTCGACCACACGGAAGAACGACCCCTCGCCGGAGTGACCTTTGGTGCGGGCTCACCGGGGCCCACCCGATCGCTAAGCGCGATGCGATGGTGGCAGCTTGCGCGCCTGGTTTTGGCCACCTCGCGCCCCCCTTACCCCGCACACTAAAGGTCACTCTTACCTGGCGTCAATCCTGCGTGTACGGACCTGCGAACAGTGGGCAGTCAGGCAGCGCAGCGGGCCGGGTGAGCTGCTGCGCGCCGCCGCCCCAGTCTTCCCGGTCGACACCAGCCTTTGCGCCGGCCGACTCCCCCAGGCTGTGGCCTCCCAGTTCTCGGAGGCGACGATGGAGGCGAATAGCCGAGGGGGGACCAATACTCGGCCACGCGCGGAGGGGGGCAGGGGGAGGGGGAAGCACCCTTGCTTCTTAGAAGGCGCAGGCTCGCCAGCGCCTTCTGAGAGGCAGCCTCCTGAGAAGCCTCCCCCCCCCTCCCCCTCTGTGCGCACCGCCAAGAACAGCCCCGGGGGGACCAAGACCTGTGCCCACGTGCGCCGATGCTCCACGCCTTTCGGGGGCGCGCAGGCATGGATCGGCGATCCATGGGCTCGGCGCGCGGTCGCCTCAGCCGTGGATCCGGGGAGGTGCCCTCCACAAAATGCGGCCGCTGCCGCCTCGCTCGGCGGCGGGAGTCCGCGATTCCCCGCGGAGGCGGGGCCCGTGGCCAATCCACGCCCCCTCGATCCATGCTCGCGACCGCCTGAGGCGAGGCTCCCTGGCAAGTGGGCCGTCTTGGAGCCCATCTTGAGCGTCTTGGAGGCCTCTTGGGCCGTCTTGGGGGCCTCTGGGGGCCGTCGTGGGCCTCTTGGGCGATCTTTGGGTGCACTTGGGCCGTCTCGGGCCGTCGGAAGGCAGAACAAAAAGAGCAAATGCCACAATCCTTCAAAAACTCATGGGAAATCAATGAGTTAAACCTTTTCGGCCCTTCGGTCGTCAGCCTCTGCCGCCGCCGCCGGCAGTCCGACCCCACCCCCCTCTGCCGTGTGCGCCCCCCCAGGGGGGCCGCGCGTGGCCGCTGCGCGGGGGGGGTGGGGTGCAGGCGCAGGACTGGGGAGGGGTGGGCATTGAAGGTCGCTGGGGGGGCAGCGTTGTTTCCAGGTTTCCAGGGCCAGATCCCCGTACGCTCGACGGGCGCGCTTGATCGGTCAACAGCAATCCTTACAGCCGCCCTTCGCGAGAAGCTCTGATTTCAGGTTTACTCTTGCCGACAGTTGGGCTGCTCATGCTTGCTCTTGCCCTACAAAAGGGACTGGGGTTATGTTGTTCCCGTCCTACTTAAGGACCACCTCCCAGAAATGATTTCGAACACTTGGAAAAGTGCCAAAAGAGTGTCGAGACAGTGTCGAATCAGTGTCGGGCGAGTGTCTCCCAGGGCCCGACACGTGAAAACCCTTGAGTTTCGATACTTTTTTGGTGCTCGAAATTCTTCCTGGTGGTCAAGGCTAAAGTAGGTTGGAGCATCATAAGACTGGGGAGGGGTGGGCAGGCCAAGATCGTGGCTCAAGGTCAGCGTCGTTCAACCGACCCCCCTCCCCATCCCCATCCCCTTCGAGACCCCCACCAGATTACTACCCCCAGTTGGGGATACACCCCTCGAAGCCCGAAGGGAACGGCCTATATCCCCATCTAGGGGGGTAAATCGGCCAGTGGAGCCCAGGCCACGCCCGTGGGGATAGGGATCGGAGAAACGATGCACACAAGGGACGGGGGTCAATGCAAACTCAGAGGGGGAAACTCTAGAAACTCAGAGGGGGAAACTCTGACCCCCCCCTCCCTGGCGCGCGGAGCGCGCCAGTGGCGGCGCGGGAGGCGCCGCCGGGGGGCCCCAGCGCGGATCCAAGAAATCCGCGCGAAGCGCCATAAGTTTGTGTTTATAGTTTTTTCCTTGTTCAAGGGAAGGCACCCATACCGCTACGATACCCTTTCCTTGCTTTCTCCTTCTTGGGCCTCCTGGGAGGTCTTCGTCACCACCGCTAGAATCGCCTCGAAACTCTAGAAGCTTCGCGTATCCCCCCCAGCACATCCAGAAACGATGTCCATGCGAGTTGAGTTGATCCGGGAAGTGCGGGAGCAAAGGGGGGGACGGCCGAACCGTGCGAAGGAGGGAAGAGGAGAAGGAGGAGGCTGGCTGGATGGATGAGGGAGCGGGAAAAAGGATGAGGATCATGATCATGATGATGATGATGGTGGTGGTGATGATGATGCTGCTGCTGATGATGCTGCTGCTGATGATGATGATGATGAAACTGATGCTGCTGCTGATGATGATGATGACGATGACGGTGATGATGATGCTGATGATGATGATGCTGATGATGATTATGATGATGATGCTGCTGATGATGCTGCTGATGATGCTGTTGATGATGCTGATGATGATGACGATTATGATGATGATGCTGATGATGATGATGATGCTGATGATGCTGATGCTGCTGCTGCTGATGATGATGGTGATGATGATGCTGCTGCTGCTGATGATGATGATGATGATGGTGGTGATGATGATGATGATGAGGATGAGGATGAGGATGAGGATGAGGATGAGGATGAGGATGAGGATGAGGATGAGGATGAGGATGATGATTGATGATGATGATGATGGTGGTGGTGGTGGTGGTGGTGGTGGTGATGATGATGATGATGATGATGATGATGATGATGCTGATGATGATGATGATGATGATGATGATGGTGTGATGATGATGATGATGATGATGATGATGATGATGATGATGATGATGATGATGATGATGATGATGATGATGATGATGATGATGATGATGATGATGATGATGATGATGATGATGATGCTGATGATGATGATGATGATGATGATGATGATGATGGTGGTGATGATGATGATGATGATCCCCCCTCGGCGGACGGCGTGCGTCGCACAGCCCCCGCTCTGGGCAGGGGGAGGCACCCAAGCCCGCGATGAAACCTGGACCCGCACGACAACTGGGAGCACCAGGGCAACCAAGAGCCGCACGGGGACAACGGCACCCCTTAGGCAAGCCTAAAGGGCCGCTGCCCGCCCAGGAGGCACCACGGGTTTAGGCCCCACCCCTACCCCTCGCGCCCGAAGCAGCGCCCTCGCCCCGATCGCCGGACGCCGCGGCCTCGCGCCGCTCTCGGGAGCGGCTCCGCGGCCGCCCTCGGCCCGCCAGGCGGGCGGGCTCCCCCAGCACCGCGCTCCTCGTTGGGTGGAGCCCTCGTCGGAGACGGCGCAGCCCCTCCAGCTGGCGCTCCGACGCTCGGCGCAGGCAGGGCTCGGCCAGCCCCATCACGCGCGCCGAGCCAGCGTTGCAGCCGCACACGTTGCAGAAGACCGTCGGGCCCGCCTGCATCAGGATGTGCGAGTCGTGGAGCGCCGCGTTCCACCAGGCTGGCTGCCCGACGGCTGCTGGGCCGACAACGGGGGCCTCCACTCCAGCGGCGCGCGCCTGGCCCCGGCCTCGGCCTCCGCCACGACCGCGGCCTCGCCGTCCTGGCCCTGGCGGGGCGGGGGGCGGCGGAGGCGCCTCGGCGGCGGCTGGCACCTCCGCTGCGGCGGACCCTCTGGCCAGCGTTCCTCCTGGGCTGGCAGCGCCCGCCCCCTGCCTCGGCGGCCCCTCCTCGCGGGCGGACTCACCCCCGCCGCCGCCCTCAGCCTCTTCGCGAGGGCGTGCCGCCAGCGCGGCGGCCGCCAAAGCGAGGACGGCTGCTCCCGTCGCTCCCGCGCCGTCGCCCGAGCCTCCGCTGCGGGCGGCCACTCGGCCCCCCTGCACGGGGGTGCCAGCGGCGGCGCAGACCCAGCAGCTCCAGCAGACCGTCTCGCCCAGCAGCAGCGCCGTGCCATGGCGGTCGCAGGCGCGGAATGCGCAGTTGGGCCCGCCGACCCCGCAGGCTGCCATTGGGCGCTGTCGGCAACCCGCCCATGCGCACCTGATCGCCTCAAGGCCAGGCGCCTCGAAGCCGTCGGCCGCCCGCAGCAGCGAGTCGCCCTCCTGCATCGCCTCTCCCAGCCAGTCGGAGACACCTTTGGCGAGGCTCTCCGCGAGGTCCACCATGTCGAGCCGCGCCTGCGAGACGCCGTGGAGAGCGGCTCCCTCCTTGGCTCGGCTGTCTGCCCTGGCGTTGCCCGCGCGCTGTCTGTCCGTGATGAGGCCGTCGCGGACGTGCTGCTCCGTCGCGTGCGCCTTCACCTTGCAGACCTGCACCATGGTGACGCCGTAGTCCTCGACGAGCTGCCAGAACTGCACCCACAGCTCGCGGTAAGGCCGCCCCCACTCCAGACACCAGCGCTTGATGATGGTGGTGTGATGATGATGATGATGATGATGATGATGATGATGATGATGATGATGATGAAGATGATGAGGATGAGGATGAGGATGAGGATGAGGATGAGGATGAGGATGAGGATGAGGATGATGAGGAGGAGGAGGAGGAGGAGGAGGAGGAGGAGGAGGAGGGCAAGCAAAAGGGCCAGAGGTCTCTTGGATGCCTCTCGGAGCCTCTTAGGGTATCTCTTGGGCGCTTCTTGGTGGCCTCTTGGGACGTCTTGGGGGTCTCTTGGCGGTCCTGGGGGGCTCTTGGGCGTCTTGGGCGCCTCTTGGGAGCCTCTTGGGGCCGCTTGGGGTCCTTTTGGGGGCCTCCTGGGGGCCTCTTGGGGGCCTCTTGGGGCCATCTTGGGGCCATCTTGAGACCTCTTGGGGCCTAGAGGAGATCGATCAAAGAAGAGGGGAGCTCATTTTAGCGTCGCCCCCCCCAAGGGACCAAAATGGGGCCGAAGCCCTAGTAAAACCGATGATTTTGGCTTTCTCGCCGAGGCCGTTTTGGGTGCTCTAACTACCCGCGACCGGCCCCGTCCAGGTCCAGGGGAGGGGGTAGGAAGCATGGGTAAAC